TTGCTTGCTTTGTTCCAACCTTCTCCAATTTTGCTCCCCAATGCACCGGTGTTACACTCAAGTGTGATATTTGTTGTTCTTGAGCTTTTGTTCACTTTAGGTCCTGAAATGTCATCACTTAAACTCCATCAAAGCACAATTAGTCCCAAAAAGGCATAGTAAAATACTAATTTTAAGCGCTAATCACAAGTCATTATAACCCCATTTTCGCTCATTCCCTTCACTCATACCTTTTCTCAAACACTTAAGATGCCTTGAGGTAATAAGCGAATTCATTTAACTGTTGTACTAAAAATAGCCTTTTATCCTTACTAAATGAACATGAAACCAAATCAATTATAAAGTAGACTTCCTAAGCTTCTAACCATAGGTCATGGGCTCTAAACAGCTTCCCAAGAAAAGCATTACGATTACTTTTTCGTCAGGTAACAAATTTGTCCATAATATTTAGCCCCCGATTTTTAGTCATTTTAAAACAAAAAACTGTATCGACACGGGGATAATCTAGTGTTCTACAATACACCATTGGAACAGGCCTTGAATCTAATTTTCAATGCACCAGACGGTGTACGAATCCAAGTTTTCTAAAGAAAGTTTTCACCGTTTTTCTATCGACTATTCAATTTGCCTGTGAATGCCGAAAATACTACAATCTTTTTAATTAAATTTCCAGCATGCAAAACAAATTCCAATATCTCTACTCTCATATTCCAGCTTCTTAACAGAAATCTCAGTAACCATAATTTTTTTGTAGCAAACCCTGGACTTAAACGAGTTATCATTTAGCTTTTAATAAACATTGTTCTTGCTCTTTATTTAATGAACAATTACACTTTTCATGACACAATACTTGATGCTAATTCCACTTTTAATCAAATTCATTTTCAATATCTGCTATATTCACGAATTCATTATAACCATAATCAAATTTCAAATCTAATTTAGATATTTGGATACATGAGCATAACTTCTACTCACAACAAATAGTAGAACTAAAAGCTTTTTACCAATTAAAAAGTCTTAGGTTCTAGGTTATTCTCCTCTTTTTTTCTTTTTCTTGGCCCTTCCCAACTGAAGCTTTCTCTCTTCTATTTCCATGGAAACCAAAATGAATCATTAATTGAATATTAAAGTTCCTATGTTTCAAGGTGTTTCGATTTTCATCTTATTTTCGAAACATTACTGAAATATTTCGTTTCCAAACTCATCGAAATTATACAACATAACAAAATTTAATCATTGAATTTGCTCACCAAAAGTTTTGGGTTATTACAATTACCTCCCTAAAACTTAGAAAAAAAATTCTTTTTCACCATTAATTTATTTAAATGAAATACAATGCATGTCAGGGTTTCACATTGCTTGTTTGCTTCAATGGAATCTGCCACTTTTCTCTTTTCATTTTTCGTTTTTGTTTAGTATTTGTAGAGTGAGCATGACAAGTTGTCCCCTTATACGCACCCCTCCCTTCCAATTTAGGTGCCTTGATGGCCTACGTGATGCATTATAATTTGTTGCTGAATGTGCAATCCCCTTATTGGACTGCATTTGAATATGGCACCTGAAAGATATGCCATTGCCAACATTTTCATTGCAGTCTGTAGTGATAGGAACAAGAGTATCGACTTATACATGATAAGCTTTTAAGGGAAACAGTAACGTAGTGCCTGTTAGATGAGACAACTCATAATCCAAACTCTGCATGTTTTCATTTTTCAACCTTCTTTGTTGCTTGCAACTTATTCAGGGAAATTGTGCTTATATTGTGTAGGTGGTTTGAATGGGATGTAGTCAAGAGCAATGATGTTCAAAAGTTGAGTCAAAAATCATCTGAGAAACTTCTTCATCAATTGGAAGATGTTGGACTACAATTAGCACTTACCTTTAATGATGGGGGTTTTGTTCTTGCTGTTGGTGGTGAGGTACAGATCCTCTTTTTTTCACTGTTCTTCGTTCAAAGTTCAGTTCAACTCGACACATAGATTTTCTAAAAGACAAAGTCTAGATATGTTTTTATTGAGTTCAATAAATATTGTTGCTACTGCAAGCTTTGTGGACTTTTTGAATATTCTGACCTCTCCCTCTATTAGTCACACATTGGCAAGTGCGCACACACTAGCACGCACTCGTGGACACATGCAAACATGAACATGTATACACCCTGACACATGACAGCACTTGCAATCATGATTCAAGTTCGCAGTATCATTCATTTTCTTGGATAGGCAATGCGCCACAACATCGCTGGACGGAATCGGGCAATATGCAAGAAATAATAGGTTGAAGAAGTTAGAAATGGCAAAAGATTCATGTCATATTCCAACATCGTGGAATAGTATGAGAGCATACATTGTGATTGATTGACGATGTCATCTGAGTCATCAGAAACATCTCTCAATCAAGCACAAGTCGAGGGTGACTCTTGATTTACACGAACATGTAGCAATCTCGAAATGAAAGGTTCCATAGTCAGATATGACTCTGCTAAATCATCTCGGTATTGGCCAATACTTTGAATCTTGCTTCCAATCTCTCTTTAAAATGGAGTGGTGAGACTCGAAACGAAAGGTTCCATTGTCGGATATGACTCTGCCAAATCATCTCGGTATTGGCCAATACTTTGAATCATGCTTCCAATCTCTTTAAAATGGAGTGGTCATCTACCTTTTTTATTCTGCTTTGTTTTCATTTCAATTTTTCCATTTTTTTGTTCTTTTTGGATGTGGACAACTACTTGATCTGATTATATTGTCAATGACTGTGGTTTAAGTGTATTAGATCTTCTTATTGACAAGCAAAATTCTATTGAAGTGCAGAACTAAAACATCTTCAAGAAGTTTACCGTAAAAACTCCTGCTGAAAATCTATAATGAATCTAAAGCCATTGGAAAGACTTCATCAAAGCAAACAAAGAAGATTGAACATCGAACATAATGATTTGAGCTCATGCAGTAGTAGCTCAACCCCCTCAAAAGTATTTAAATTCATCTATGCCATATTAGGCAAAGAGGATCCCCATCTTGGCTCTACAACCTCATCAACAATACAACACCATCTGAATTGCTTGCGGCATCGCCAAAACCAACCCAATCAAGCGAATGAAAAATGCAACAGTTCCCTGACAACTTCATAATGCAGGAGCAAGTGGTTCACTGACTCCCCCTCTCTTGTACTCCTCAACATCAATTCACACTTTAACAGGATAAGTAATGGAAAGAAATCTTCAAATTTGTTCCTTGTAGGCATCTCTTTCCCCAAACTAGAAAGACATGTATATTGGACCCTTCGCAATCATCCACGTAAATTATGTATTGAACAATGCCTGATAATGTTTTTTGCTACAAAGTGCACATACATGAAGAGCAGAAGTTATTGTATGGTTTACTGATGGTAAGCCATCTTCTATCTCAAGATGCACATTTTAGGATCTGCATCTTGTAAATATTTCCCAAATGCAAGTCCTGGATCCTCTTTAAAGGGGCTCCCACCTCTGAATTGAACGAAGTGGATTTAGATTGAATGTATCATTGTTTTCTACCAGAGGCATTCTGCATTCTTGGTGTCCTGCTACCCTGTCTTTATACTATTCTTATGGAGAGTAGTTTTTTAGTATCCATTTCTGGTGACAGTACAGGATGGCAAGTTGAGGGTTTTCAAATGGCCTAGCATGGAATTTATTCTTGATGAGGCTAATGCCCATGCCTCTGTGAAGTATTTAGATTTCAGGTTCGCAATAATAGCTACATCATTGTGTTGGACTCTTTTTTTTTTCTATCTGGAAATCATAAATTTTGCATACAAAGAGGTTTCTATTCATTTGTGATTTAAGTTTTCTCATAGAACTGGCTATGTTTATGTCTTGCAGCCCTGATGAAAAATACCTTGTCTCTGTGGGAAGTGGTGGCCCTGGTAGGGTTTGGAATGTTGACTCATCAACTTCTATAGCCTCTTTAACAAAGGAAAATGTAAGAAATTCTTTGTAAATTGTATATAGTGCATATGGAACCAAAGTTTTGTATAAACTTCTTGTTGGGGGCAGGACATTTGCCATAACATGTATATGCTAGCATTCCTCCTCAAATTTTTTGGTTAGTAGTTAGTGAGGTTTGATGTGGTTGACATGCAGTGCATGGTAAGCATATGGTCCTTTAATGAAGATTTGTTCAGTTTGATGAATTGACCTCTAACTCCTTACTGAATGCTTGGATGATGACCATATATGCTTTCTAAATATTGAGTACCTTTTCACCTTGATAAACTTTCATGTAGTGTAAGTTTTTCTTCCACAACTTTGTCTCTAATCGAGTTGTTCATCATGTCCAGGATGAGGTTTTTGGTTTCTGCAGGTTCTCACAAGCTAGTGACAAGAATCTAGTTCTATATGTCATTGCGATGCAAGGTGGATAGAAAATATTAATTATGTTCCTCCTATTTCATTCCCAACGTAAATCCTTCAACTATACTCTTCTATGACCTAACCATCATGAACATTGTTTCTAAATTGTTTAGAGCAAGGTGGAAGTATTGTGAAATGGAATACTACCTCATGGAAGAGGATGAGCTCAAAGCGCATTGTTCGAGGCCCAGTTTCTGCTTTCAAAGCTTCAACTGACGGAAAGCTCCTTGCAGTTTAAGTTCTTTATTATTAGTTTCAAGTGCTTGTGGCATTCATTTACACTATTGTCTTAAAGGTATTATGATATGGTTGTATGAAGTGAGAGATTGAAATATGTGCCTAAGACAGCGTCAAATTATGACATCTCTTGTCATTCTTTTTTTCTTTCTTTGTTTTTTTTTTTGGGGGGGGTGTTGACATTTCTGTGAAAGCAGCCACTGTTGTAACTGCGTTGAGGTTTCTTGTAGGAACGGTGCATTAGTCACTGTCATCCTTGTTGCCAGCTACTTCGTTTCCTTTGACAGTGTTTTTTTCTCTAACTTGCCATTGGTCAATATGCAGAGGGACAATTGAAGGAGATGTTTTAATTTTAAATTCCAGAAGCATGCGAGTGCAGACCATTGTCAGAAAAGCACATCTTGGCCCTGTGACAGCATTAGCTTTCTCGCAAGATTCAAGGTTTTCATTAAAAAAATTTTCTTTAATTTTCTATTCTAATCAACATAAGCTACAGCATGCCTGTCCTCCCTAAAAACTATAATTGATAGTGAATGTGTGTTTATAATACAGGTCTTTGGTCTCTGCATCCTTGGATTTGAGTGCAAGGGTGATAATTGTGAAGGATGAGGAGAAAAATGGTATATGCCTCGCTCGACTTTTTAATACTAGACAACAAATATTAAAGTATCTACAACTATTATATTACTCGCAATGGTTTGCCTGCCCATATACTCAGAACACCAGCAGCGGGCTAAAACTGGGTCTAGCTCTGATTTGAGGTACATGACCTGTGACTTATGGCCGTACAGTATCAGCCCAAGGTTGTCTTTATTTGATTGACCCTATTTTGGGAGACTGGGAGTTGACCTTCAAATCTACAGACTAATTTGTTCTGATATATTTTGTTTATTAAATAATATCTTAATGCAATATAAGCATGCATATGTACTACTCTTATTCTTGAGGCATTGTTGGAACGGTTTCTTCTGGATATTCCTTTTGTTGGGGCTACCTATTAGACCCCAACTCGGCTGGGCCAGGTCAGCTGGCTTGAACGTGACAGATTGTGGACCCTGTTTTTTATTCTTACTCACATATTATCCTTCTCAATCTATGAACTTATGTATGTTGCAGGACTGAGGTTGTGGGTTATTCTCTTCATCACCGTACTTGCAGTAGCTATGTATTATGCTAAAAGTGAAGGAATTCTTCCTTAGAAGCTAAAAGGTGAGAAATTTGCCTTCAGT